TATCTCCCCCATCTTTCCTTATACTCTCCATTTGATAAAAAAAAGCAGGAAAACGAGAGTAGCGTGCACATAGGGAAGGTGACAAATCTCTATCAACAAAACTGTCATGCAAATTTGCACATAGAGTGCAAACGGGAAATTGAGCGTGAGTTGCAAAGATGGTAAGAAAATGGCTATGAGCATCACAATCGGAGCCACGAGCAAGAACAAAATATTGGCAGTGGAGTACCACTATTGAATCCTTCTATATCTACGTCTTCGGGGAATAAAAAAAAAACTCATTGACCAGAGCGTCCAGGCGTCGAGAGCACCTTCCAGGCGTTCGATTCACGGGGATCGAGGGAGTCGGACGGGGATGAGGATGCTCGGAGATCCCTCGGCCCTAGGCGTAGATGCGAGGGTGTGAGTTCCATTCACGGGTTTCGAGGGGGAAGGATGCCGATGGTGATCGCAGGATGAATGGCTGGAGGGGATGGGGGTCGTCGCTGGTCGTGGATGCCTAGGCGTCGAGAGCATCTTTGAGGCGTGCGAGGGGGTTGGTTCGGTTCACGGCGTTGAACGGGTGGGGTTGGTCGTAGATGCTGCGGAAGAGGATGTCTCGGCTTCCTCCGTTGCCGTACACGCTTTCGGCCTCTTCCGCCTTGCGCCACTCGCGTCGTCTGCTCCGGTAGAAGAAGGCGAATCCCCCGAACATCCCGACGTGGAGAAACACCATCGCCAGAGCCACCCCGATCACCGTCCCCTTCGCCGTGCACACTTCATCCGTATCCAGTTCTATCGAGAGACAAGGACGATCGAATAAAAGAATGCGAAATCCTGAAAAATTAAGGACGATAGCCAACATCGGCCGAATGAGGAATACTGGTCCCTTATACGACCGGCACATTTATGGTTGTGAAACGGTGAAAAATAATCACATTCCCGTCAGCAAGGCAAGTCCTGGGAAGTCTCCCCTCGATATTGACTCACGCTCTATTTGAGGCTTGTGTGTCGGCCTGGAGAAATAATTGAGTTCCCACGAAGAAGGAGGAATGTTGCCGGGGTCATCCGAAGCCGGCGGCGGGGGCATGGGAATCTTGGACCGAGCCTCGGATCCATTCCGACGCGGCAGGAATCCTCTCGAGTCTTGCAGCGGCAGCTCTCGGACGATCAACTGCACGAGGGAGAGGGGAAAAAAAAAAATTTACAGTTTCGGCGATCGATCGGATGCACGAGATGAGCGGCTGCAGTTCGGGGACATTTCCCCCCGTATTCGTCTTCCAAACTGTAATCGAGGACTTCCACGGATAAGGGCCCGATTGCAAACACGCTCTTCAGAGACGATTCGGAGGAAAGAAGGAACCGTTCGTATAATGCGGTGTTAAAGATAATCGAATTCGAATTCGCTCTCAATGTAATAGGAGACGAGGTATCCTTTATCCCAGAGAACGGGGCATGCAAAATTCGTATAACTCGTGCTCGAAAGAGGGTCTCGTGTCCTTGAGCCCTTTTCACTCGTGTCCATGAATCCGGTACTCTTGGGAGATCCTCGATCGACTAGGTCGTTAGTCCTCTCTATGCGTACTGATTTCATTTTCCCTGAGGAATTTTTCTTCCTCCCCGGAGAC